ATATATATATATATATATATATATATATATATATATATATATATATATATAGCAAACAATACATTTTTATTATTTGTATACATTTTTAAAGCATTTACTGTGTACAGGGTTAATAATTTCATATTTTGAATTCATTTTGTAGCAAGCTATTAATGTTTTTTTAGTTAATTACTTAATTTATTCATTAGTTATAGCTTTTCTTTACACTTTATATCGCACTCTATCACAATTTTACATATATATAACTTATTCATTTGTGTGTGTGTGTGTGTGTGTGTGTGTGTGTGTGTGTGTGTGTGTGTGTGTACAGGTGAAGTCTAATTTATTAGCCCCCTTTGAATTTTTCTTTTTGAAATATTTCCCAAATGATGTTTAACAGAGCGAGAAAACTAAAATAAGAATAAAAGAAAATAAATCGGTTATTACAGATGGGTTTTTAAAACTATTATGATTAGAAATGTGTTAAAGAAACCTCTCCATTAAACAGAAATTACAGAAAAAAATAAACAGGGTGGATATATATATATATATATATATATATATATATATATATATATATATATATATATATATACTGCTCACCATTTGTTTTTTTATCAAGTCTATTTTTTTATTTTAATTTTGTGTACATTTAATTTATATGAACTTTTTTCTCCACAAAAAACTGCGATTTGGTCATTTTATTTTAAGGTACAATTCTTGCTTTTGACAAACCATTAATTAGCTGGTAGGATTGGTAGGATAAGGGATAAATAGGGCCAGACAGAATCTGCAGACATTTATTTTTTAAATATGTGCATTTATGCGGAAGGACTTTGATATATGACATAAAATAATACCTTTTTATCTTTTATTTAATATTTACAATGCAAATCAAATTAGATAGAATAAATTGGTAAATAAAGTAAGTTTCTCATATAATATCTCCTCTAAAAGACAGAAATGATTACTTTACACACTGTATTCTGAATAATTATATGAACATTTTCATAATAGTCAATTATATTACTGAAATCAATTTAAAAACTGAATAAATATATTTTACACACATTTAGACAAGTAAATATAAAGACTCATTGATGGACTAAACATCTGCAGATTTCTGTGTGCACAGATTCCGTGTGGGCCTAGGGAAAAAGATCATGCACAATGTTTACTTTGTAAGTAACTACTAATGAATGGCCAATAACAGGCAGCCACTGGTTAATACTTAGAATTGGTTACCTAAAAAAGCTATTTACCACAGGTTTTTGTTCTGTCTTATTTTGTTAGATTTGTTGAAGTTGCTGGTTTGCATTGAAGTGCTGAACTGTTCATCTTACAGTTGAAGTCAGAATTATTCGCCCCCTTTAAATTTTTTTTTCTTCTTTTTTTAAATATTTCCCAAATGATGTTTAACAGAGCAAGGAAGTTTTCACAGTGTGTCTGATAATATTTTTTCTTCTGGAGAAAGTCTTATTTGTTTTATTTCGGCTAGAATAAAAGCAAGTTTGGAATTTTTTAAACACCATTTTAAGGTCAATATTATTAGCCCTTTCAGGCTATATTTTTCCGATAGTCTCCAGAACAAACCATCATTATACAATGACTTGCCTAATTACCCTAACCTGCCTAGTTAAACTAATTACCCTAGTGAAGCCTTTAAATGTCACTTTAAGCTGTATAGAAATGTCTTGAAAAATATCTAGTCTAATATTATTTACTGTCATCATGGCAAAGAGAAAATAAATCAGTTATCATTAGAAATTAGTTATTAAACTGTTATGTTTAGAAATGTGCTGAAGAAATCTGCTCTCTGTTAAACAGAAAATGGGGAAAAATTAAACAGGATAGCGAATAATTGTGACTTCAACTGTAAGTCAACACAGTGAAGCCTGTTCCTCAAATGCCTGATGTTAATGGAGCTCAGATCTGCTCTGTTTCCAGGCCGTTCCTGCCATTTGTTCTTCATTAGAGCGGCTTCTGGGTTTGTTTGTGTTGTGAAGCAGAGCTCTGTTTTCTTCACTCAGCACAGTCGGCTTTATTACAGCGGTGCTGCCTGCAGAAGCTCACATCTTCTGCTGGTCTGCTGTGAAGAGGCTGAACTCCTCCGGCTGCTGGTCAATGGGTTGCTATGAGGTCACTAAGGTGTTCTGAGTTGTTGTTATGAGGTTGGGTTGCTTGGCTCTTGTGAGTTGTTTTAAGGCTGTTGCTAGGGTGTTCTGAGTTGTTGTTAGGCAGTTGTCAAAGTGTTCTGAGTGATTATTAGGCAGTTGTCAAGGTGTTCTGAGGTTTCTATCAGGGCTGCACCATACTGGGAAAATAGGCAATGTCGTTGATTACTGCGAAAATGATATTTCTTACAATATATCAATTCTCTAGAAAGCAATTTTCATGAGCTATGATTTTTATTCATTACTTATGTAATGATATTAAAATAAACAGGTAAAATATTTTTTTCTGATTTATTTTATTATAATTCAGACTAAAAAACTGGTGCAAACATTTAGAAAACTTCAGCAGATATTCTGACTCTGACTGGCTGTTGTCATTTTCTTCTCTCGTCTCGGCCCATTTTGCTGAGTTTAGACTCCAGGATTTTCAAATTAGGTGCATCACAGATGTTTTCACACTGCAATGATTATCTGGACTAGTGTTCAGTCTGTGCTGTTCACATTGCAAGATGAATCGGCTACAGGGGGTTTCACACTGCATGACTGTACAATAGGGTATATGCAAAATTATGCTAAAGGACTTTTAATTTGCCAGTAACCTGGGTTAAGCGCTTTGGGTGAACTGTATGCCATTGCAAAATTGGTGCGTTTAAGCTTTGATTCATTTTCTTTTTGGCTTAGTGCCTTTTGTAATCAGGGGTCGCCACAGCTGAATGAACCGCCAACTAATCCAGCATATGTTTTACTCAGTGGATGCCCTTCCAGCTGCAACCCATCACTGGGAAACATCCATGCACATTCATTCACACACACACACACACACACATACATTACGGCCGATTTAGTTCATCAGTTCCCCTATAGCGCATGTGTTTGGACTGTGGGGGAAACAGGAGCACCTGGAGGAAGCCCACACCAACTCGGGGAGAACATGCAAACTCCACACAGAAAAACCAACTGACCCAGCCTGGACTCGAACCAGCGACCTTCTCACTGTGAGGCGACAGCGCTACCCACTGCGCCACCTCGCCGCCTCACACACAAATACACACATATATTTATATTTATTTATTTTTTCTCAAAAGGCGGCGTATAATCTTCCTTCTTTTTCATGTCAGGTCAGGAAAAGTTGAGCTCTGGGCTTGAATAAATTAATTATCGTTATTAATATAATTATCACTATAAATACCAGAAAATATATTCTCTGTCTTTGCTTGCATGCTGAAAATATGAAATGAGATATAATAATAACAATAGTAATAAAAGATGATGAAATGTGCGCCTGGGATTTATCATGAGATTTACTCAAATACTGTGATATTCTCTTGTCTTTGCAGTACATGCATGCTAAAATGTTAGCAATTTAGAATTAAGTTTTTAAATATATGTTATGCTATGCTTTTTAGATGTGATGTGAGCTCAGTGCTGTGATGTGTGTGTGTGTGTGTGTGTGTGTGTGTGTGTTTCAGGTTCACAGTGTCACTGTTGGGGGTTTTGCTTCTCCTGGTCTCGTGTCTCCTGGTCGGGATCTTCTGCTTGACCTTTGACCCTCGTCCTTATGGCTCTCTCCTCGCGCTTAAAGCTCTGGGAGCAGAAGGGAGGTGCAGCGTTTGACTAACACGTTACTAACCCATGTGCAAATCTGATATATTGCAGTATATAAATGCAAATTAAATTGATCACATACGAGTTCATATTTGGACTTTACACATTTTATTCAGCTTACAGTGGCATGTAAAGGCTTCACTAGGGTAATTAGGGTAAAGTTAGAGTAATTAGGCAAGTTATTGTATAACAGTGGTTTGTTCTGGAGACAATTCAACACTAATATTGCTGAAGGGGCGAATAATATTGACCTTAACATGTGTTTAAAACAATTAAAACTGCTTTTATTCTAGCCGAAATAAGACAAATAGGAGTTTCTCCAGAAGAACAAGTATAATAGGAAATACTGTGAAAAGCACCTGAATCTGCTCAGCATCCAAATATTTGAGAAAGAAAAAATGAATTCACATAAGGGCTTATAGTTTTGACTGTATGTGTGTGTAAACATACAAATTACTTTATGTAGTAGTAACATTTCCTAACTGTGCACGGCTCCACAAAGCAAGCTAAACCTGTAACAATAAGTAAAATAAAATTAAAATAAACAGGACACCTCCTAATTAATGAGGAGCTCAGAGTCTCGTCTCCTGGTCAAAAATAAAAAACAACAACAAAGATGATTGACCAAAGAAATAACGTAAAGTCGAATTTATTTGACATTTACCTTTAAAGGAGACATAAAAATCTTGCGGAGGTAAAGCCAAAATAATAAACAAGAAACTCAACAACTAAGTTTTAAAACCTCCTACCTGCACATGAAATAAAACAAATGAACATTCACCTCCCTACTAAACCACCAAGGCACCATCCTCATCACATGCGTGTCCGTATTGATCTCAATAGTCAACACTCAACGTTAAAACTTCGGCAGTGTCGCCGAGCAAATACAACTCAAGTTTTTCACAAATCAAGCTGGAGAGAGGAGACTCTCCAAACGATGTTCCAGTCCGGTTTAAATACACTTCACCAACACGGCAGCAAGCTTCCACATGTTGACACCGGTGCACTCAAAATGAAACCTGCCGGAAAGACAGCGGATAGAGGCAGAGAGAAGAGAACCACAACAAACAGAGGCATATACAACAACACAAAGACAAACTCAATACTTCAAATAATTGTATTGTTTTAATAAATAAGAGAAATACATAACAAGTTAATATATTATAGAGTCATATAATAAAGCTCAGTTTGACATCATTGTTTAGAACGTCTCACCAAACGTGTCCAACACCAAATAATTCATCAATATTTCATAGCTGATTTTTAAGCATGCTGTAATTCTCTCAGTGTGACTCGTGTTGTTTCCAGTGGCTCTCTGTAGTGGGTCTCAATCCCTGTTGTGTGCACTTGCATGACTGTATTTTTAGCATTGCTGACGGTCTATGGTATATTTAGGGTTTTACCTCTCTTAAATATGTCATCAGGTCTTCATTATCCTAAACAAACTCATGTAAATGACTTTTCCAGCTATTATCAGCTGTCATGACTGTACTGTCGCACACTCACTGAGGTTTTGCCCACTGACTAGTCATCAGGAAGAGCTGTTACTGTACACCCTATCTAGTGTTTCGGATAAATATAACCAGATATTGGGAGGATGCATGTTTGTAGTGTGTGTGGAGGTGATGACTGTCACGATCGGTGGTTGGGGAAAAAGGAGCGAGGACTCAATTGCAAAGAAATGGGTAATTATTAATGGTGAAAATAAAATAAACAGCAAAATAAACTACCCCAAGGGGGAAAACACTAGCTAAACAAATAAACAAACAAACAAACTTGACTGGGCAGGCTGGTAGGGATCAGGGCTCGAACACACGACAAGACAAGGAGAGAAACGGTGACATACAATGACGAGCTGGCCCAGGACAGCAGACATGAGGGGATTATAAACTGTAGTAAATTAACACACAAACAGATGAACATAACTAATAATGGGTTAACAAGGAGGGTGGAACTAGACAATAGACGGGAGAGCACATGACACAGACAACACAAGCCATGCGCTCACATTAGACAAGACTAGAACACACAGCCAATGAGAGAACTCAATAACCACGCGTTCACAACAACAGGACAAGACTGATGCACGCGGCCACAGTGTAAACACAGAGCCAAGTGCTTAAACAACACAAATAGACGCAAGACACGAGCACACGATAGATGAACACCTTACCGTGCGCTCACACATATGCAACGTGCATGTTTCATCTCAGCGTCAACCAAAACTGAAACCAACTAGACGAAGACGCTAAGAATAAAACAGTGCGATGCCGACAGAACAAAACACAAACACGAGTACAAGAGCGCATGCACACTCTGCGTACACCCACGATGACGTGCATGCACACAGAGACACACAATGACAGAGACAGGACAAGACCAAGTGTCCGGGCTCTGCCACCGAAACAAGAATTTACAGAGTGGCAGAACCCTGACAATGACTGGATCTCCTGCGTCTCCACAGATAAAGGAGGAGAAGAAAGCTCCAGAGGCCGCCGCTCAGCCTCCTCCTCCACTGTCTGCTGTTCCTGGAGGATTCCTCAAGCAGCTGGTCCGAGAAACCGAGAAGGAGACGCGACACCGAGAGCCCGAAATCAAGGAAGACAAACCGGTGAGAGACTCTGAAGATGCAGAAAACAGATCTACAGTGAAAGTCAGAACTATTAAACCCTCCTGAATTATTAGCAGCTCTATATAATAAAGTCCTCGATGGTTCACCTCGTGCATCATACTGTTATGCGATGCATTGTGTGTATGCTTTACTGAAAAGATAGGTCTTAAATGTAGTTCTGGACTGAGGACGTAATCAGGAAGGCTATTCAAGAGTTTAGGAGCCATATATGAGAAGGCTTGACCTCCTTTAGTAGACTTTGCTATTCTAGGTACTACCAGAAGCTCTGAGTTTTGAGAGTGGGTTGGATTGTAGTGAGACAGAAGGTTGGTTAGATAAACTAACCAAGACATATATATTCTTACATATAACGCTTTAAAGATTATTTAAAGCGTTATATGTAAGAAGTAATATTTTATAATCAGTGTGAGGAGAAACGGGTGAAAACAGGTTGTTGTTAGGTGCTATATAAATAATTGATCGATTGATTTGAACTCTCTACACAGCCCAGCAAACTCAGCGACAACCTAGTCCAGAATTTCCTTCTTCCCGATGAAACTCCGCCGATTCTGGAGGCCGAGATGTCGCTGCGAGCGGAGCAGCCGGTGAACGGGGAGCGCGGACGGCACATCGCTATGTCAGAGAAGAAGACGTCTTCACCCAGGAGGATCATCTCACCCGAAAACCCCAAAAGCCCCAGAGCAGAAACACAGACCTGCAGTCCTGAGGTCAGTCCAGACACACACACACCGCAGAAGGAGGAGCAGGTGAAGATGCTGCAGGAAGCCCAACCCCCGAAACAGGAAGTCAAGGGCGTAAGACAGGAGCCGGAGGGTCAGATCACTGTTACTCATATGAAGGAGGAGAGCAAGGTGCCTGTGGTGAGTAGATCCAGAGTTTATTCCCAGTCCCAGTATTATCACTGGGATTCTGTTATTGGGCTTTATGTTGTTTTGTTTTGTGTTTCTAATATATATATGCACACGACAAACAGCAAGCATCAGACCGGACGTCATGTATTTCCAATGGAGAGTAGTCCGGGAGCTGCGTAGAGTTACGATCATCTCCGTATGTGGAAAATTTTGATCCGAACTAAGCTGCAGATTCATTAAAAAATTTGCGACTAGACTGTATGCGACCGCCGACCGAATGTGATGTATTTCAGTGTTGTCCAAACATTTCCATTCATAAATGAGTAGTAAAAAATATTATTATTTTAATGTTGTCTCCATATCCCCTGCAAAATTTTTAATGGTGAACACACAGAGGATAAAGGCTCCTGGTTTCACATTACTTTATTTCGGACACTACCTCGAGAATCAGCTTCACATGGTGCACGTCAAAACTGAATATTCTGTGCAATTGCCATGAGGGGGGGTGTTTTGACAGTCGTGTCCGAATGCGTGTGCAGTGGAAAGGCGACTTAAGGGATTAAGAACGGGTTTTTAGGTGTAACCGCTAACGACTATGCCACCAGGGGGAACAAAGGGACGGAAATATACAGTAGCTGCAAATACTCTGCTACTTGTAAATGAAGATGAAATAATGAAACAATTGATTCCTCCATTAATCATTAAATATGTGTTAACAAGCTTAATTATCATTGTGAACTTAATTGCAATGAGGATTAAAATTAAAGAAATAAAAGACAACTAAAATAAAAGTACAAACATGTATACAACATATATACAGTATACACATGTTTATTTATTTAGAGAGAGAGAGAGAAAAGAGTTTTTTTGAAAGCTTTAATAATAAAATCAGTGTTTTTCTATAGTTTTTTTTTTTACAATTTTGTATTTAATCTATTATTTATGGTACACTAAATGAAGCTGGAATGTTAATTATTTTATAGAGATTATATATATAGATATTTATATATATATATATATATATACACAGTTGAATTCAGAATTATTAGCCCCCCTTTGAATTTTTTTTCTTTTTTAAATGTTTCCCAAATGATGTTTAACAGAAAAAGGAAATGTTCACAGTGTGTCTGATAATATTTTTTATATTCAAACTTATTTGTTTGATTTTGGCTAGAATAAAAGCAGTTTTTAATTTTTAAAGTTCAATATTTTTAGCCCCTTTGCAATATTTTTTTCCGATAGTCTACAGAACCAACCATCGTTATACAGTAACATGCCTAATTACCCTAACCTGCCTAGTTAACCTGATTAACCTAGTGAAGCCTTTAAATGTCACTTTAAGCTGTATAGAAGTGTCTTGAAGAATATCTAGTCTAATATTATTTACTGTCATCATGGCAAAGAGAAAATAAATCAGTTATTAGAGATGAGTTATTAAAACTACTATGTGCATAAATGTGCTGAAAAAAAATCTTCTTTCCAGGGGGGCTAATTATTCAGGGCGGCTAATATACACACACACACACACACACACACACACACACACACACACACACACACACACACACACACACACACATATATATATATATATATATATATATATATATATATATATATACAGAGAGAGAGAGACTTATTTTTATCTTTGCATATCTTGTTTACAATTTTAACAATTTTAATATATATAATATAAATTATAACAATTATTTATATATATATTTATATATATACAGTTGAAGTCTGAATTATTAGCCCCCCTAAATTATTAGACCGCTTGTTTATTTTTTTCCCCAATTTCTGTTTAACGAAGAGAAGATTTTTGTAACACATTTCTAAACACTATAGTTTAATAACTCATCTCTAATAACTGATTTATTTTATCTTTGCCATGATGACAGTAAATACTATTTTACTTGATATTTTTCAAGACACTTCTGTACAGCTCAAAGTGACATTTAAAGGCTTAACTAGGTTAATAAGGTGAACTAGGCAGGTTAGGGTAATTAGGCAAGTTATTGTTATTTGTAAGTTATTATATACAAATTATTGTATATAATTTGTTCTGTAGATTATTGAGAAAAAATATAGCTTAAAGGGGCTAATAATTTTGTCCCTAAAATGGTTCATAAAAAATTCGAAACTGCTTTTATTCTAGCCGAAATAAAACAAACAAGACTTTTTCCAGAAGAAAAAATATTATCAGACATACTGTGAAAATGTCCTTGCTCTGTCATTTGAAAAATATTTAAAAAAGAAGAAAAAAAATCGAAGGGGGCTAATAATTCTGACTTCAACTATATATATATATATATATTGTATGTAATTTTATTTAAGTATTTTATATGTGTGTGTGTGTGTGTTTTTAGTTTTTTTATGTTTCTAAGATTGATATATTGATTTCTGGGATCTATGCAGCGACATATGTATTGTCTGTTTTATATATTTTTTTCTATTTGGAATTAATTAATCAACTTAGTTTGATTGGGATGATTCTGGAGGGGATTGAATCATTTGTATAAAATTTAATAAACTAATTTCAACCATTAATAAATGCAACAGATCAAAGATACAAATGAAATAAACTGTGTTTAGTTATCTTATGCAGCTGTGGAAATTTAATAACACAATGTTAAACAGCACTGCATAGTCTTTATAATATTAATAATTCTATACATTTAACCTTCATTAAAGTTACAAACTACAATTTCATGTGCCTTAATGCTTTAAATGTCCCGTGAAGTGTTTTGAAATGTGCATTGTTTTTATTTGATGTGGGATGTAATCGCAACTAAAAAATTATGCAAGGACGGGGCAAAGAGTAATTCCTAGATAGAGTAATTAACACAGCTCCGCCATTAAGAGTGGTTAAGCTCAAGTGCATCAAATGAACAGCCAATGAGAACAAGGGGGTGGAGCATGTCAGATACTATAGAGCATCTGATTGGTCAGAATATTTGATGAGAAACAGAAGTATGAGGTGATGTCAAAAAAATCATTGATCCATTTAGGAGGAATAACAACCTGCAAACTTGATGTGTTTATGTCAGGTTTATATTTTCTAAATGCGAATTGTGTCACTGACAGACTGATACTAACATCTAAAATGTTTTATTTTATTTTCACAGGATATTTAAACTGTTGTAAACGGAACACATAGGCCTTAAAAACACATGCAAATGATTAATATTTACTCTATTATGGTTATACTTTGCAATTGTGGCTCCTGGTGAACTATAGTATCAACTCAACATGTGACTATTACAGATGCGCACATTGCAATATTGATGCTAAAATCATATAATTTAACATGTCTAATTCTGTCTCTCTCCTCTTGTCTGCAGAAGGACGTGTGGTATGAAGCTGGACAGGTGTGGTTCACTCACAAAGACGGGTACACACTCGGTCAGTCTGTGTTTACCTGACATTTAAAACGCTGAATTCTGTGTTTATCAAGCCCTCGCCTGGTATTTTGAGTTGTTTTGCTGCATCATTGCTCATTTTTATCTATATGTGAGCACTAGAACAGCTCTGCTGTGGTGTTGAGTTGCAGGTTATTAATATCGTGTTGTTTTAGGGATGCTATATTTACGTGTGGCCTGATTATTGTTTGTGGGTCTGTCCCAGAGGTCATTGCTGTCATATCACGTTAAAGCAGCACAGCTTTTTTTTACATTGTTGTCAGAGCTGGGTAGTAGTGGGTTATATTTCATCTGTATTATTAATCAGATTCCAATCGTAATCAAAACTAGTAATCTAAATGTAATCCAAAAGTAGTCATATTACATTACCATGAATGTGTAATCTAATATATTATACTACTCACTAAATATATTAACATCTAATTTAAAAAAGTTAGCACAGAAATAATCTAAATGTAATCCACAAGTAGTTAGATTACATTACTGTAAATGTGTAATCAAATATGTTAGGTTACTGACGAAAAATATCATCTAATTAAATAGAATATTAGCATAGAAATAATCTTAATGTTATCCAAAAGTAGTTAGATTACATTACTGTAAATGTGTAATCTAATAAATGACGTTACTGATGAAAAATATCAACTAATAAATAGAATATTAGCGTAACAATAATCTAAATGTAATCCAAAAGTAGTTAGATTACATTACTGTATATGTGTAATCTAATATATTACGTTACTGACGAAACTATAATCTAATTAAACAGAATATTAGTGTAAAAGTAATCTAAATGTAATCCAAAAGTAGTTAGATTACATTACTGTAAATGGTTAATCTTAAATATTATGTTACTGACGAAAAATATTATCTAATTAAATAGAATATTAGCATAGAAATAATCTAAATGTCATCCAAAAGTAGTTAGATTACATTAGTGTAAATGTGTAATCTAATATATTACGTTACTGATAAAAAATATCATCTAATAAATAGAATATTAGCGTAAAAATAATCTAAATGTAATCCAAAAGTAGTTAGATTACATTACTGTAAATGTGTAATCTAATATATTACGTTACTGACGAAACTATAATGTAATTAAACAGAATATTAGTGTAAAAGTAATCTAAATGTAATCCAAAAGTAGTTAGATTACATTACTGTAAATGTGTAATTTAATATTATGTTACTGATGAAAAATATCATCTAATTACAGTAAATAGAATATTAGCGTAGAATAAATATAAATGTAATCCAAAAGAAGTTAGATTACATTACTGTAAATGGTTAATCTTAAATATTATGTTACTGACGAAAAATATTATCTAATTAAATAGAATATTAGCATAGAAATAATCTAAATGTCATCCAAAAGTAGTTAGATTACATTAGTGTGAATGTGTAATCTAATATATTACGTTACTGATGAAAAATATCATCTAATTAAATAGAATATTAGCGTAACAATAATCTAAATGTAATCCAAAAGTAGTTAGATTACATTACTGTATATGTGTAATCTAATATATTACGTTACTGACGAAACTATAATCTAATTAAACAGAATATTAGTGTAAAAGTAATCTAAATGTAATCCACAAGTAGTTAGATTACATTACTGTAAATGTGTAATCTAATATTATGTTACTGACGAAAAATATCATCTAATTACGGTAAATAGAATATTAGCGTAGAATTAATATAAATGTAATCCAAAAGTAGTTAGATTACATTACTGTAAATGGTTAATCTTAAATATTATGTTACTGACGAAAAATATTATCTAATTAAATAGAAAGTTACCCCAAAAGTAATCTAGATGTAATCCAAAAATAAACTGATTACATTACCATAAATCAAAGATATTAAATTACTGCCTGAAATATTAACTTTAAACAAATAATGAGTAGCACAACAGTAGTCTGATTACAGTGTAATCTAAGATATATCACTGCCTAAAAATATTAACATCTAATTAAATTAAGTTAGCATCGAAGTAATCTAAATGTAATCCAAAAGTAGTCTGATTACCTTACTAGAAATGTGTAATCTATTATACTATAGAACTGATTAAACATTATCGTTTATTTAAAAAGCACAAATGGATCATTTATTGTTAACACAAATGTAATCTTCAATAAATGTAATCCAAAAGTAGTCAGATTACATTACCATAAATGGTTAATTTAAGATATTATTTTACTAACTAAACATATTCATATCTAATTAAACAGCAAGTTTAGACAAAGTAATCTGAATGTAATCCACATGTAGTCAGATTACAGTACTATAAATGATTAAACTAAGAGATTATATTAGTAAACATTTCATCATGTAATCAAATAACAGCACAAAAGTAATCCAAAAGTAGTCAAATTACTTTACTATAAATGTGTAATCAAAGATATTATACCTCTGACTACAAGCTATGTCTACAAAAGCAGTCTACCCCTCTCTCATTATTGCATTAAACACGTTTCTTCAGCTGGAAGGTTCTGGTCTCTGTATGAAAGCGTTGTAAGCGGTTGTGTTTCTCACAGGCTAATCTTCTCCCTGATCAGATCTGCGGTGTCGTTAGCTTTAGCGTCCTCTCAGTTTACTGATGAATGGGTTTAGTGTTCTTATCTTATCAGGCTCATAGCTGCGCTAATCGACGTGCTGAAGCTGCCATGTTATAAGATTGAAAGATTACTGCAAAAAAAGCACTCAGTACTGCAGTTACTTACTCAAGCTGAAGCTGCCTGGCTCGAAAACAAACAACAGAAGCAACTTAAAGATGAGCTGTATGGTTTGTTATGCAAGATTTGATGTTCCGTGTGCTAATACTTAATGCATCATCATATCTTTGTCATATCTGCCACAGCGGAATGAACCGCCAACTATTCCAGCTATTCTATGTTTTACGCAGTGGATACCCTTCCAGCCACAACCCATCACTGGGAAACATTCACACACATATTCATTCATTTTCTTGCTTAGTCTCTTTATTAAGGTCGCCACAGCGGAATGAACCACCAACTTATCCAGCAAGTTTTTACGCAGTAGCACAAGTTTTCCAGCCGCAACCCATCTCCGGGAAATCCCACACATATATTACAGCCAATTTAGTCTTCCCAATTCCCCTATACCACATGTGTTTGGACTGTGGGGGAAACCCGAGCCGCCGGAGGAAACCCACGCCAACACAGGGAGAACATGCAAACTCCACACAGAAACGCCAGCCGAGGCTCAAACCAGCAACCTTCTTCCTGTGAGGCTACAGTGCTAACCACTGTGCAACCGTGACGCCCTATTTACCTTTTGTATGAATTCAATCAGTTAATAGTTTACACATTGACCTCATGGAAAGTGGAAAGAAAACACTTTTTTTCTATCAAACTTTTCTTTTATTTTGTATTTTTTGAACACAGAAAAACATGCCATAGACAATCAGCATATAGCAAGGTGCATAGGTATGCGTTCAATAACCAATAAACAGGTTGTTAAATAATAGGGCTGGAAATGAACTTTTTTACTTTGTAGTACCCGTGCTCCCAACTTCAAATATTTAGGAGCACCAGAAAACATTTAGGAGCACCAACAAAAATGAATGAGCACCACTGCATATTGTTTTTGAAGGAATTTATTAAAAAAAGAAATAGGTGGAAAAAAAAATAAACAGGGGCGCTAATAATTCAGGGGGGCTAATAATTCTGACTTCAACTATATATATATATATATATATATATATATATATATATATATATATATATATATATATATATATATATATATATATATACATATAAATATCCACATATATATGTGTTCATATATCTCCCTTTATATCTAATGATATATGTAGATTTATGTCAAATGAAGGAAGACGAATGCTAAATAAAATGCAAACACACTCACGATGTCATTCGCAACCTTTCTGTCTGTGTCAGTGAAAAGGTTTATGTAAGCTTGCGCGCAAATGCATTAGTAAGAATGATCACATGAAACGGTACACTAAGTATTATGTCC